TGGGGAAGGTGAGCCTGGTTTGAGGACAGCCCTTTGCTCGGCTGTGTTGGAGAAGCCTCCCGCTCTGCTTTGCTCAGCAAAATTCCCCATCTTGAAACCCCTGGGGCTGGGACCGCCAGCTCTTGGTGTGCTGTGACGTCCCCCGGGGCTGTCCCCTCCACGTTGCCCCCGGCCAGGGGGAAATGGAGACGCTGCGGTAGCTCGAGCTGCAAAGAGTCGAGGAGGCTGCGCTGTTGGAAATCAATGTGACGATGTTCAGGGTGGGACCTTCTGCCGGAGAAGGGACTGCTTCTTTTAACCGCACCTGATACGAGCCACTCGCACGCACGAGCAGCATGACCTGGTGCATGAGGGGTCTGGCTGGGATGGATGGGGAGGACGAGGAGGATGAGGGATGCGGGTGCTCGCTGTGTCTACTAACATTTCCCAGCTGGAGACAACGGAGCCACCAGTTATAACGGGGTTTTTTTTTTGCTCACGTTCTCCCCTTAAACCTTCTGCTGCCCCTTGTCCATGTTTCCTCATTTGGGGTGTCTGCATGGCTGCAGTCGACTCCCTGCCGGGATGGCCGGAGTGACCAGGGCCTGGCCGGGTGCCGAAACCTCGCTGTGCCTGATGGGCTGGTGGGACGCAGCCTCCGGGCTCGCTGGGGACCACATTCCTCCGTGTTTACCCGCCCGACGGCTGTCCCTCATGTTGCCCTTGGTCGAGACAGGCCGTTCTCACAGCCCTGGCTCTGTCTCCTGGTGCTTTCATGCTCAAACATTTCCTCTCCTACCTCCGCCAGACCAAAGCGGTATTTCTGTTACAAACCTCTGCAGAACAAACGGGCCATGGCGGGGAAAGGGGATAAACCGGAGGGACGTGGCATCAGGGGACTGGGGATGACCGGGATGCTGCAAGCCCACAGCAGGGGCACTGAAACTGTGATCTCCCCAAGCCAACAAGAGCTGTGAGAACAGGTTTGCTCCATGGCCGCCCTCCATCGTCCCCTTTGCCTGCAAGAGCGGGGCCAGATTCTGCTCCAGACATAGAATAAACCGAGCGCACGGTGCCCAGAGCCACGTTCAAGGCTGCAGCCTGTTGCCTCTTAAAAATTTAAAAGGACGTCTTTGAAGGTGGATTTGAAACTCAGGCGCTGAAAGAAATTCCTGCAGGAAGAAAATTCAACAAACAAAGTCCCTTGGCTGAGAGCAAAATTTTTACTCACCAGATTTGCTGAAGGTTTTCGTGTTTCCCAGCAATGGGAGCTGTGTTAACAGCTTCACAGGTCGGACAGCGTGGTGGATAAGGTCTAGTATATGAAACCTTTCCATGCCTGGCATTGCAGGGTGGCTTTTGCGCAAGCAATTGCCCCATTTGGTGCCTCAGTTTCCCCCTTTCAGTGCCCAGCAGAGTATCTGTTAGTTAGCAGGAAAAAAAACCCCATGAAACATGTCCCTACGGATTTAGGCACTTTCGACCAGTTTTTAAAGCAATTGGCATGAATCTCCAAACAGCATATTCTTTCCCTATTGATTCTGATCCTTCTCCAGCTGGCAAACACGCCTCCATCTCGACCCTTTGTTTAAACGATGTGAAATACCGATGTGGTTTCCCTCCATTCCTTTTCCTGGCTTGCACTTGAGCTGCCTGCTGGTTTTTAGGCATCCGAGTGCCCCAGCTCACTGCAGGGTGAGGGCTGTGCCCTCGGACCATCCTGCTCCCGGCAGTCAGCGAGCAGCACTCACCAGCAATACTCTGGTTTTGGGGTAAGGGGAAGGGCACCGTGTTTGGAACAAATATATTTAAGGGTTGCGGGGAGCCCGGGGCAAAATGGGAGTGCAGGATTGGACCCTCCTGGAGGGCTGCCAGCCTCCGGTAGGGTTTGGACTGTGTTTTCAGTGAGCCAAAGCAGCTCAGGTTTCCTGGCCCCCGCTGCAGATCAGCTTGGCTGGAGAGAGGATGGCTTGTGGGGAGGGAGAGGACCCGCTGAATCCCGCATCCCAGGGATGCCCAGGATGGGGATGTCTGTAGGAGGGAGATCCCCGTGGCTGCTGTGGCCCCCTGGGACTCCTCGCTCACGCCTGGGCTGTGTCTGAGAGCTGTGAATATGTAACAGGTCCCAGGCTGCCTCTGAGCTCCTTGGAGCAGAAACGTCCACCCTGAGCATCCACGAATGTGCCTGCCCCAGCAGGCACCCGGGAGCCCTGGGGGTCCCTGGGCCGTGTACCCTCGCTGTACAGCAGTTTTCCAGCCCGGGACCTGGCTGAGGCTCCATGCAAAACCCAGTGGCCCCGTGCCCGTGGCCTGCTCGGTTGCACGGCACTGCCGTGACTCCCCTCCTTTCTCTTTATTAAGTGCCATCGGGATTTAAATTAAAGCTTATCACCAGCTGGGAGCGAATGAACCCTGCATCATGTTTTACGGTGCCATCTGCCAGGCAGGAGCAGAGACCCCAGCACAGGGCTGCTGCCTTCAG